CTTGGTAGCCCAGGCTGGCCTCGAACTCACAGAGATCCGCCTGGCTCTGCCTCCCGAGTGCTGGGATTAAAGGCGTGTGCCACCACTGCCCGGCATCAAATTATATATTTTTTTTTTGTCTTTTTTTTTTTTTTCCAGAGCTGAGGACCGAACCCAGGGCCTTGTGCTTGCTAGGCAAGCGCTCTGCCACTGAGCTAAATCCCCAACCCTATTTTTAATTTTTGAGCTTCTAATTTCATCGTGCCTTCCTTCCCTTTCCCCCTCCAAACCTTCTCATGTACCCATGCCTTGCTCTCTTCCACCGTTTTAAAGTGAAGAGCAAGCTGGCAAGATGGCCTAGCAGGCAAAGGCACTGGCTGCCAAGCCTGAAGACCTGAGTTTGACCCCAGGACGCACATGGTGGGAGGAGAGAACTGCAAGTTCTCCTCTGACCTCTGTGCGTGAGCGCGCACACAAACACACACACACACACACACACACACACACACACACACACACACACGAGCTCAAAATAAGTATAGTAAGGATCTAGTGCAGTCTTGCCAATACTTGTGATTTCTAGTTCACTTTTCTTTCTCTTTTCTTCCTTTTTATTCTTTGTTAATTTTTGGTTGGTTGGTTGGTTTGGTTTTTTGTTTGTTTTGTTTTGTTCTTTGTTTTTCCAAACAGCTAGGGTTTCTATGTGTAGCCCTGGCTGTCCCGGAACTCATTCTGCAGACCAGGCTGACCTCCAACTCAGAGATCCTCCTGCCTCTGCCTCCAGAGTGCTGGAATTAAAGCTGTGCGCCAACACTGCCCGGCTTCATTTGCTTTTTTCTAATAAATCATCAACACTATGTTTTCATGTGCTTCTTGGCTGTTTTTGTATCAGTTGGAGACATGCTTATTTGAGGACTTTACACATATCTCAGACAGTTTGTCCAGAAATAACAGGTTTGGCCCACCCACCTCAAGCTGACCCATAGGAGGATTTCTGGTGGTTTGATAAAAGCCAGCATTCCTCAGGAACTTGTGGAACATGTTTTCTGTCCACCAAAAGTAGTCACTTCCCTTGCCTCTGACAGAAGGTACATATGGCTCTCCACTGACATACTCTCACAGCAGCCATCAGCATATCAAAGCCCATGCCTGCTTCCAGGCTCCTACAGTCCCTATTCACAAGTACCCATTAAATATGTCAGAGCCCCACCTAGGATCCTGATCCTTCACGACTTCTCCTACCCTAAACTCCCAGGCCGGCTCCAGCTTTCAGGTTTCCCTCCTAGCAGCTACTCATCCTCCTTATATCCCACCATTCTCCTTTTCTCTCTCTCTATTCTTTGCTCTTCTCTCTTTTGCTGTCTCCATTTTCTCTCCCACTCTCTTACCTTCCTGCAGATATCCCAGTTTTGTTTGTTTGTTTGGTTTGTCTTTGCTCTGGACTCTTATTCCAGATGCCTGAATATTCTCTTTCTCTCATCCATAACGAAGACCTCCCCCAAAGGAGCAACCTTTCAGCAGTTTCTTTACTGTGCCCTCTTGCACACAACTTTCAACAGAATTCTTTTTGCTGTTGTGCATCTTTCTCGTAGCTGTGGCTTCTGTTCTGTGGGTTGTCCTCCTTTTCATGATGACATCCTTGATACAAATGTTTTTCATTTTGCTGACATCCTAGTCAGCTATTTTGTTTATTGTTACCCATGTATTTGATGTTTTAAGAATCCATTGAGAAACACAGTATAGCAAAGGTTTCCTTCTAATAGTTTGAGATTGATGGCAATGGTCCACTTTGAGTTTTCTTGTGTGTGTGTGTGTGTGTGTGTGTGTGTGTGTGTGTGTGTGTGTGTGTGTGTGTTTTCGAGACAGGGTTTTAATGCGTAGCTTTGCGCCTTTCTTGGAACTCGCTTGTAGACCAGGCTGGCCTCGAACTCAGAGATCTGCCTGGCTCTGCCCCCCGAGTGCTGGGATTAAAGACGTGCACCACCACCGCCTGGCTTGAGTTAACTTTCATAAAACAGTAGGATAGGTCTAACTTCATTCTTTGGCATATTGTGATCCAACTGTCTCGGCACTGTCTCCTAAAGAGGCATCTTTCCTCTCTTGGACAGCATCAGCACCTTTGTTTTGATCACTGACCCTGGATGGGTGACGGCTGTGTCTGTCACGCTGAGCAGCGTTTCCTTACCTGGAGTGCTGCAGAGGTGAAAGAACTCAGCGTGTGTGTGCGTGTGCTGCTTTCCCTCTTCGTGTTCCTCCTTCTGAGTCTCCACTAAAACCCCACCTCTAGAGGCAGAACGGAACATGAGCATCACGGGAGGGTGGCTTCAATATTCCCTGCTCTTGGCCCTGTCTCCCTAGAAGGAAGGCAGAACTGGTAGTGTAAAGTTGGGGTGGGCCAGAGGGCTCAGTGGGTAAAGGTGCTTACTGCCAAGCTTGATCCATGGGTTCCACATAGTAGCAGTATGAAAAACTAATATGGTGTATCCACCATCCCCATCCCCACAAAGAAAATGATCCCACTAGGCGGCGGTGGCACACACCTTTAATCCCAGCACTCAGAAGGCAGAGGCAGGCAGATCTCTGTGAGTTCGAGGCCAGCCTGGTGGTCTACAAAGTGAGTTCCAGGAAAGGCACCAACACTACACAGAGAAACCCTGTCTCAAAAAAAAAAAAAAAAAAAAAAAAGGAAGGAAGGAAGAAAAGAAAATGATCCCTTCGAAACCAAAATAAATAAATGTATTATGTATGAGTGCTCTACTTGCATGTATGCCTACACACCAGAAGAGGGCATCAGATCCCATTATGGGTGGTGTGAACCACCATGTGGTTGCTGGAAATTGAACTCAGGACCTCTGGAAGAGCAGTCAGTGCTCTTAACCTCTGAGCCATCTCTGTGGGCCTAAAATAACTCTCTTAAAGAGTAAAGTTGAATCACTGTGGAAATGTTACATCCCTTTTCACATGCTTTGTACACGCAAGGCAAGCACTGTACTCCAACTGAACTATATCCTGTTCATTTTGTGTTGGAGAAACAGACCCAGGGAAAGAAGTGACTCGTCCCTGAACTACTAGCATGGGCAAAGATGTGAAGTGACTTTGTGGGGAAACAGATCTTACAGCTTCCCTAGCCTCCCTCCTGTTTGCGGGTCCCCAGTTACACTGTGGGATGGTGTCCACAGAAGGTTTGCTGCTGGAGTCTGCTTGTTTTCAGAGCTCCTTCCCTGAGCCACACAGAAAGGCCCAAGGTGTCTGTTATGCATTTGCAACAAAAATATTCTGTTATTCTGTTTAGGGATATTCTGAACATAGCTGTTTATTTAATTACAAGTTTGGCCTGTTTTCCATTTATGGGTCTGACAAACATATTTTAAAAAAATTCAGCCTATAATAATATTTACTAGTAGGCTTTAATTTATTTATTTATTTTTATTTTTTTATTTTAATTTTTTGGTTTTCAGACAGGGTTCATCTGTGCAGTCTCTTGGCTGCCCTGGAACTCAGTAAACCAGGCTGACCTTGAACTCACAGAGACTCCCTGCCTGGCTCAGGCTTTATGTCTAACCCATGGGAGCTAGTTTTCCTTTTCTTTATATATTATTTACTTTTGAGATAATCATTTCATACCTTAGTGCAGGTTGACTGGCCTTGAACTTTCCAAACTTCTGTCTCAATCTCTAGATTGCTGGGAATACAAGTATGCACCAGTGGCCTGACTCTTGAACTTCATTCTTTAACAGTGAGGACCCTCTGGTGGAGCTCAGGCCACAGAGCAATGAACTTGTCTTACTTTAGAAAGCCTTTCTTGCCCGAGGAGAAGACTTTTCCTAGGTTGGAATCCTGGGTGACTCCTTCCCAGGTCTGTGATCTTGGCTAAGTAATCCCTTTGAGCCTCATTTTTCTAGTCAGTAAAATGGGAATGATAAAACATAGTTGTGGGCTGGCAAGATGTCTTAGGGGTTGAATGTGCTATCCTCCAAGCCTGACAACCTGAGTTAATCACCAGGACCCACATGGTAAGAGGAAAGAACTGATTCCTTCAAGTTGTCCCCTGACCTCCATAATCTCTCTGTCACACACATGCACAAACACAAAAAATAAATTAAAAATATAACAAAACAATTTTAAAAATGATAAACTTTGAAAAACACAGTTGTTGGGTTCGTATCAGCACTGGAAATAATATAGGGATCTAGTTTATTCTGTCAACATTGTCTCTCCCTCCCTCCTTCCCTCTCTTTCCTGTGTGGATGAATGCACATGCCACAGCGTGTGTTGTCGGAGGACAGCCTGAAGAAATCAGTTCTCCTCTTCCACCATGTGGGGCCTGGGGATCAAGCTCAGGCTGCCAGCTTGGCGGCAAGCACCTCTCCCCATAGAGCCTTCTTGCTAGCCCCCTAATGCTTAAAATTTTTTATTTTATTTTTATATGCATAGGTGTTTTGCCTGCATGTATTGCTGTGCCCAGTGCCCAGAGAGGTCTGAAGAGGGCTTCAGATACTGAAACAGAGTTAGAGACTGTGGTGAGCCAGAGGGTATGGGGAATCAAACCCAGGTCCTATGTAAGAACAAGTGCTCTTAACCTCTGAGCCATACCTGCTGTAACATGGACATAGTAAACCTCAGAGCACGAAGCATATTGACAGGAATAGGTGACTCCATTTGTATGAAATAGTAAATCTCTGCAGACTGAAGAAATGAGTAATTACTCAGAGGATCAGAGATGGGGAAATGAGGAGTGACTGTTTAAGGTGTCAAGTTTCTTTTGGGGTGATGGAAATGAAGAATTAAATAAATGCTAACAATGTGAATGTACTCAATTTAACTAATTTGTTTAATCAATTACTTAATACCTAGTTAATAAGCTGTCTTTTTTTCATATGCATTGGTGTTTTGCCTGCATTTATGTCTATGTGAAGGTGTCTGATCCCCTGGAACTAGAGTTATGGACAGTTGTGAGCTGCCATGTGGGTGCTGGGAGTTGAACCCAGGTCCAGTGGAAGAACAGCCAGTGCTCCTAACCGCTGAGCCATCTCTCCAGCCCCAAGCTAACTGTCTTAATTAATTACTGTTATTACTGTTGCTATGATGAAATATTATGACAAAAGCAACTTGGGGAGGAAGGGTTTGTTTGGCTTACATTTCCACATCACTGTCCATCACTGAAGGAAGCCAGACAGGCACTCAAACAGGGCCGGAACCTGGAGGCAAGGAGCTGATGCAGAGGCCATGGAGGGGCGCTGCTTACTGGCTTGCTCAGCCTGCTTTCTATAGAACTCAGGACCTCCAGCCCAGAAACGGCACCCCCCACAATGGGCTGAGTGCTCCCCCATCAATCTTGAATGAAGAAGATGCCGCGCAGGCTTGCCTACAGCCCAGTCTATGGAGGCATCTTCCCGTTTGAGCCCCCTCTTCTCCCGTGGTCAGCTTGCATCACGTTGACATAAACCAGCCATTGATAATTCTTTTGCAGTGCTGGGTTGAGCCTAGTGCCTCATGCATTGCCAGGTGAGTGCTGCTGAGCTACACCTCAGCCCCCAGATTAACAAGCTCCTCTGCCCTCCTTTCTTTAAGTCAGTCTTGCTATGTGGCCATGGCTGGCCTGGAGCTTGCTCTGTAGACCATGATGCTCTCAAACTCCCAGCAGTTAAGAGCGTTCATTGTGTGGTTGGTACCATGACTTTCAAGACAAGGCCTGCCTCTACCTCCCAAGTGCTGGAATTAAAGACGTGAGCCACCACACTGTATAAAACACAAACTTCTGTAGGTTTTTGTTTGTTTTTTGTTTTCTGTTTTTCGAGACAGGGTTTCTCTGTGTAGTTTTGGTGCCTGTCCTGGATCTCACTTTGTAGACCAGGCTGGCCTCGAACTCACAGTGATCCGCCTGACCTGTCTCCTGAGTGCTGGGATTAAAGGCGGGCGCCACCGCCACCACTGCCACTGCCACTGCCACCGCCACCGCCCGGCTTCTGTAGTTTCTTGTCCAGCCCTGGGGTACACGGTGTCCTGGTTTGAGCTCCAACAAGCTTGGCAGCTCCTTCCCAGGACCTTGTTGTTTACAGCCTGCTTGGCCTCTCTTCCCTCATCCCCTCTTGTCTACAGCTTTCCTCTGTGGACATCCTTTAGTCTCTACTGCACCTTTCTTGCAGCTTCACAAACTACCCTTCAGGGCTGCTTACCGAAATGATGACCCTGCCCCACCTTCCACATGCTGGAATTACAGGTGTGTTCCACCATGCCTTGTTATGTGTATAGCTAAATGCACATGAAGTGAGGCATGGAGTTACATGCCTGTAATCCCAGTACTGGTGAGGCTGAGGCAGAATGACTGCTTTGAATTTGAGGTCAGCCTCAGTTACATAGTGAGTTTGAAGTCAGTCAGTGTAAATGGACATTTCCTGTCCCTACCTCCCAGTCCCAAATATATACACAGAGGCTTAAATGAATTATAAATGCTTGGCCTATGGCTCAGGCTTATTACTCACTAGCTCTTACATTTTAAGTTAACTCATATTCCTTATTTACGCTCTGCCACATGGTGGTACCTTTATTAGCATTGCATGTTCATCTCCTGCTCCCTCTCTGTCTGCTGGCAACTCCTGACTCCTCCCTTCTTCCCATCATCCTTAGTTTGGTCATACTGCCTTATACTTCCTGCCTGGCTACTGGCCAGTCAGCTTTTTATTAAACAATTTGAGTGACAAGTCTTTACAGGGTACAAAGAGATTATTCCACATCAGGTCAGGGCTACATAATTCCTTCCTTCACCCTCTTTCTCTTTTTGTGGTCCTGGGAATCAAACCCAGGGTCTCTTGCATGCTAAGCAAATGTTCAACCACTGAGCTACAGTCCTAGTCCTAAGAAGGACTTGGAGAAAGGAGACAGAAAGCATAGTTGGGAGCCAATAAATCTTGAGTATACATCCAGTGCCAAGCCTTGTTTTTACTACTTTTATGTATATGTGTGTTTGCCTGTGTGAATGTATGCCACATGGGTTCTTGTCCAGCGAGGGGGGGGGAGCGAGGGGGGCAAGGGGGGCTACTAGAAAGCTGTCAGGTGTCACATAAGTGCAAATTATAACCTGTTCTGCCCAAGGTGGCCAGATCCCCTGCAGTTGGAGTTACAGAAAGTTGTGAGCCACCTGACATGGGTACTGGGAACTTACTTGGCTCCTTCAGAAGAGCAGCAAGTGCTCTGAATTGCTGAGCCATCTCTCCAGTCCTAACTTTTATTTATTAATTTTGGTTTTCATATAGGGTTTCTCTGTATAGCTCTGACTGTCCTGGAACTTTCTCTGTAGACCAGGCTGGCCTCAAACTCAGAGATCTGCCTGCCTCTGCCTCCCGAGTGCTGGGATTAAAGGTGTGCACCACCACTGCCCACCTAATTTTTAATTTTTGAGTCAGGGTCTCATGCAGCCCAAGCTGGCTTCAAATTTACTAGGTAGACAAGGATCACCTTGACCTTCAGATCCTTCTGCCTCCACCTAAGTGCTGGGACTACATGACTGCCACCATACCAGTTCTGGTGCTGGAGATAGAGCCTAGGTGTTGCATGCTAAGCAGCCATGCTGCCAGCTCAGGGTATTGCCAGCTCTGGGGTGGCACTGTGTAACAGCCTTACAAATTGGAGAATGATTTCATTCTATTACTTTCTACTTATTTTGGTGGTGGCAGGAACAGAACCCAGGGCTTCAGTCAAGCTAGGCAAGTACTCTACCAATGAGCTATACCCTCAGCAGTGTTCCTGCTTGACATAAAAGTTAGACAAGGTCACAGAGCTAAGAGCAGGAACTCCAAATCTAGGCCTGATAGTTGCCAGGCATCCAATCTTATCTGAATGGATTCCTAAGTGAAACAGGGTAATATTGACACAGAAGAGAAGCCAGAAGCTTGTTCCTTTGACAAACCAAGTTCCTTTCTCGTGGAAGTTAGCTGTCACTGCTGCCTCCTGGGGTGGTCTTGTCCAGCAAGGGGGGGGGGGCGCTACTAGAAAGCTGTCAGGTGTCACATAAGTGCAAATTATAACCTGTTCTGCTTCTGGCTTTACTGACTTACCTGGCATTTATTCTCAGTGTCTGTAAGTCTCTGCTCTAACCTGTTTCCCTACTTCTTCCAGGACCTGCAGAGAACAAATGCCAAGAACTTCTGTGCAAGTGTGACGAGGAGCTTGCGTACTGCCTTGCAGGAACAGAGTACCACCTGAAATACCTCTTCTACCCCTCGGTTTTATGTGAGAAGGACTCACCCAAGTGCCACTGATAGGCTGGTCTTGAAATGTTCGTTTGCCCAGGAAATGAAGTTTGCTTTCAGTAATGAACAACTTCATTCAATTTCTGCAGGAGGTAGTGGGAGCCAGGTGATAAAGCCTTGTGTTTGCTTTCTCCCTCCATTCAGGAACTTGGGACTGTTAGCCTGTGGAGTGGCTAGTTTGATGAAAGCTGGGTCCTGGGTCTGTCTTATACAGCCACCACTGTGCTGTACTGCTATCAGTTTTGAAACAGTGTGCTATCTTCTAACCTGCGGTTGATGGCTGGGGGTCAACTGGGGATGAACTCCTGCTTGTAGGCTTGGCTGTGGTAATAAGATTGCCACGTGATACACCTAAGAACTGTTACTATAATAAAAACATTCCCTACCTTTCTCAGTCTTGGGTAAAATTTACTTCCTGAAAGCTAGGTGTGGTAGCACACGTTTGCAGTATTCTGCTGGGAGGTTGAGGTTGAAAGGTCACCTGAGCCCAGGAGTTTGACACTATCTTGGGTAGGACAGAAGACTCTGTTTCTAAAAGAAAAAGAAAATTATTTCCTGGGCTAGTGGTACAACTGTGTATTAAAGCATATGTGTAGCACGCTTGAGGTTCTGAGTTTGATTTCCAACATCTCAAGAAAAAAAAAATCAAAAGAAAACGTAGAGCAATATATAAAGCACTAAAAAGTGAAACCACCGGCCAGAAGAATGGCTCAGTGGCAGTGGTTAACAGTCCTTCCTGATCTTCCAGAGGACCTGAGTTTGGTTCCCAGCATGCATATTGTCTAGCTCAATGGTTTTAACTCTGGCTCCAGAGAAGCTTGACACATCTGGCCTCTGTAGGTACCTGCCCTCACATGTACATGCGCCCACGTGCCCCCCGCCCCCACCACCAATTAAAATCTTTATAAAGATAAAGCATTCCCAAGTTTTGGAATACAAGAAGGAAGCTTTTGCTCTCTCTGCCTGCTTACCCTCACTCTAGATCACAAGTCCATTCCTTCACTGGCTTTAGAGCCTACTTCTTTGGAATTCCAGTGTATACTGAAGATCAGCTGAGACATCCAGCCTTGTAGACTGAGCAACTACTGGATTCTTAGATCTTCCATACACAGGCAGTCATTGTCAGAATAAATCCCCTTTCTATAAACAGAGTTCTGTTACTCTAGAGAACTCTGACTAATACAGATTCTGGTACCAGATGTGGTTCTAGAACAACAGAAGTATAAGGAAGAATCTTTCAAGTATCTGAAATAGACCTTTCAAGTCACCAACACCTACAGCTACCAAAGTCTCTCCAGTTACTGAAGCCTTTCCTGGGAGCTTGGAGAGTACTGAAAGCCCATGCTGTGCACTGTATTACAAACTTAAGGAGATAAATGCATTTTATTTTCCTGATTCACCAGTTGTGAACAGTAATGGAATTAGTGGTGATTCTGTATACAAAACTTTTGAGCCGGGCAGTGGTGGCGCACGCCTTTAACCCCAGCACTCAGGAGGCAGAGCCAGGTGGATCTCTGTGAGTTCGAAGCCAGCCTGGGCTACAGAGTGAGATCCAGAAAAGGAGCAAAGCTACACAGAGAAACCCTGTCTTGAAAAACCAAAAAAAAAAAAAAAAAAAAGCATTTGTATAGATACTTGGTTTTTTCCTCAATTTCTTTATCATGTGATATAACAACAATTAAGAGAATATCAATGGTTATCATATTTAAGTTTGAGATACTAAAAGAATGTCCCTCAAGGGACACTACTCAACATTTAATGTGTATTCGGTTGTACAAGTGATAGTTATATTATGATAGGCATAATTATGACTGGCTAAATATATAATGCATTTGTTAATTGTATGTGGAATAGTTATGTTTAGGTGTTATGACCTGGCTGTTCTTATTTGTTAATTAATCATGACCTAAGGACATATGATTATGTGTCAAGTTAATAAGGAGTAGATTTGTGATGGCTCTTCTTGGTTGTCTCCTGGACCTAACTAAAATCCAAAAGTGTTAGACACACCTATGAGAAATTTTTGCTTAATTTGAAGTAGGTAGATCCACTTCTAATCCAGACCTTGGAGATAGGAAGACACCTCAAAGGTGACATCCTTTGAGGATCCCCCTTAATTGGGATCCTGAGGTGGGAAGACACAGCTTTAGTCTGGGCCGCGCCTTCTGCTAGAAGCCTGTATAGATGAGGAAGAAGGAGGTCCTTTCTTTGCCTGCCCGACCTTGCCTTGCTAGCAATCTAGTCCTTCAGTAGCATCAGAGCCTGTTTCTTTGGGATTCCAGTGTATACTGAAGAGCAGCTGAGACACCCAGCTCACCCAGTTGGACTGCACCACCACTGGATTCTTGGACTTTTCATTCACAGCCAGCCATTGTTGGATTAGCTGTCATCCAACAATTTGTAAATCATTCTAATAAATCCCCTTTATATATGTGTGTTGTGTGTGTATGTGCACTGTGCTTTTCTAGTTTTAGAAGATGTAATTAGGACTATGCCCTATTATTTTCAGTCTTTTTCTGTCATAATTTTTTAAAAAGATTTATTTATTATATATAGTGTTCTGTCTGCATGTATCCCTGCAGGCCAGAAGAGGGCACCAGATCTCATTACAAATGGTTGTGAGCCACCATGTGATTGTTGGGAATTGAACTCAGGACCTTTGGAAGAGCAAGCAGTGCTCTCAACCTCTGAGCCATCTCTCCAGCCCCTGCCATAAATTTAATGCCTCTTAAAAAGCAGTATTAGGCTGAGGGTGGGGCTCAGTGGCAGGGCACTTGCCTCACCACAAATAAAGCCCAGGGTTCCATCTCTAGTACTGCCAACTTTTGGATACCAGAGGCATCTCCTATTTGTCAACTGTTTCTTAGGATCTGTATGAAGAAATTTTCCTTTGGGCTAGGGGATGTCGCTAAGTTAGCAGAGTGCTTGCCCTTCATGCACAAAGCCTAGAGTTCCATCACTAACACCACATAAAACTGGGCGTAGTTACATGCACCTGTAATTCTAGAGACCCAAAGATCAGAAGCTTAAAATCATCTTGGGCTATGGAACCAGTTTGAGGCCAGCCTGGGCTATATAAAGCTCAGATTTGGAGATGTCTGAATGTTTCACATGGACACCTCCATTTTGATGTCACTAAGCCTCCCTGGAAGGGTAGGAAGACTCAAGGATTAGAGCAAGCCTGTGGTCCTGGTTGTGAGCATGCCCACTCTAATAGAAGCTGGAGCACCAGCCCATCTGGTTGCTGTAGGCCACACCTCCTCTTTCTCCAGAGCAGATCTGGGCATTGCTCATCTTTGAGATATGGTATTGGTGTACATGGGGTCAGCATGGAAGGTCATAGGTGGGAATGGGATATCGGGAGGCTGGCTACTTATGGTCTAACCTGGGCACTACCGAACCTAGCACAGCCACTAATCACTTTTGTCAGTCACCCTACTTCATCACGGGGAAGAAAAGCAGGAAGGAATCTCCAGGGTTGTCTCCAGGAATGCACAAATGCTACTGTGTGCCTGAACCACAGAGTTGCTGTCTTATGTAGACAAAATCAGGGGGCGCTGGGGCTCCATGAGAAAACTGGGAAAGAACATTTTTCCTTCACTGGAGAGATCACTAAGCAGCATCTTGGTTCAACACCCCACTCAATGTGATTGAGTCATAACACACCAAGCAATGCATGATTTTTCTTGTATTTCCTCAGCAATCAGATTTCTCTATAGAGGTTTTATTTGTATAAAAATCTTTAATTTTTATTTCAAGTAATTTCCCAAACTTTCAAATGCAAAGTTTAAGTGAAATCTTAAAGGGTTAATGAGTTACAAAGTCTATCTCTCTTGCTCGCTCTCTCTACACACACACACACACACACACACACACACACACATTCTCTCTCTCTCTTTTTCTCTCTTTGGATTTAAGCTTGTTTCCATAAGGCCAAAGCTGACAAGCTCACACTCTACACCTGCTGTGTCCACACTGGCAAGAAATAAATGTCACCCTTCAGCTCACTCCATATTTAGGATGGCAGCACTTGGTATAATTATACCCGATGCTGTACTTCAGAACAGGACAATAAAGAGTATGTATTATACGATGTGAGAGCAGCTTACAAAATGTTTCCTTGAATAGACTAGACTGGATTTATCCTGCAGATTAAAATTTTTCAAAACAAACCCCACGCAGTGCTCTCAGTCACCCGACTAGGCTCAGCCTGATGGGAATCCGACTCAGCTCCCTGCTCACAGAAAGGAGAATTGAATTTCCAATGATCAAAACAGGAAACAAGACAGCTAGCTATCATTCTCTCTCGGCCTGAAGCTTTCTCTGGGTTTATGCTGAAACCTATTCACTACTCAATAAGCAACTGTGATTGAATTCTGGGTTTTCCTCTGTCTTTTGTATATGTAACTATCCATGCCTATGACCAAACTCTATATACTTGTTTTCCTAAACTTGACCCACAGGACAGGACTGGTCCCAACAAGCCTGGTTTCGGGGGGCCTGTCAGTCCATGAGGTTAAGGCTAGTAGACCACGATGGCCTTCTCTTTTATTTTCATTTGCTTTGAGACAGGGTTTCTCTGTAGCCCTGGCTGTCTTGGAACTCTCTCTGTAGACTAGGCTGGCCTTGAACTCAGAGATCCTCCTGCCTTTGTCTCCCAAGTGCTGGGATTAAAGGCGTGTGCCACCACCTCCAGCCTATGGAGGTCTTCTGACATGTCACTCTGAATTATGTTCACGACCTTCCATCCAATTGGCCAGAGTAGCCTGAGCCTTCTAAGTACACGTAAGAAGAGTGGCTGAGTATTAGTCAAAGAGTCCCACCTGACCTGGGTAGCAGTCAGACGCCAAGGTCCAAGAAACAGAGGAGGAGGGGACCTGGCTGAAGCCTTGAACAGAGGCAGCACCTTGCTTTACCAGGGGTAGAAATGAGTTCCTTGCCTCTCTCAGTGTCACAGCTTGGATGTCACGGAGACTCACGGGCTCTCCTGGACCTTGCTGCTGATCATAACACTTGGGTTTCCAGACGTCGGACCTCCTTGACCACCAGATCAATGTTAATAATTGGGTTGAAGTACAGAGCCCAGTAAAACAAACAGTTGCAGACAAACTGAGGAATGAGTGGCCAGAACATGGCCACGAATAGCCCCTGCGTAGACACTTTCCAAAAATGACTCCACATCCTCTGGGGCACTGTCCTGAAAAGAAAAGAAGAGTGGTGGAGGGCAGGCTTGGACATGGTGGGGCACTGAGGGTGTCTGCCCCGTCATCTCGTCTGTTCCCACATCTGGAGAAACACCTCTGCCTCACCAGTACTCATTTTTGTTGTTGTTTTT